TAGACATTTAATCAAATAAGATATATAAATTATATAAAATGATCCTCAACATCACTAAACATTAGGGAAATGCTCAACAAAACCACTGTGAGATGTGACTTCACACCCATTAGGGAAGTTATTATTTAAAAAAAACACTCAGGAAATAATGTGGGAAAATGAGGACGATTGTACACTGCTGGTGGGAATGTGAAATGATGCAGGTGCTGTGGAAACAAGTGTAGTGTTTCCTCAGAACAAGATCTGTATAATTACCATGTGTTCCAGCAATTTCACTTCTGTGTATATGTCCAAAAGAACTGAGAACAGAGGCTTAAACAGATATTTGTACTCCCATGTTCACAATAACATTATTCACAACAGGGAGAAGCAACCCAAGTGTCTACTAAGAGATGATGCAGTCTATAGAATATGATTCAGACTTTAAAAAGAATAAAACTCTACTATACACTATAATATCGGTGAACCTTGGAAACATTAAGCTAAGCTAAATAAGCCAGACACAAAAAAGACAAATATCATCTCATTTCACTTAGATAAGGTATACCTAGAATAATCAAATTCTATAGACAGAAAGTAGAATAGTGGTTACCAGGGGCTATTGAGAGGAGGGAAAACTAGAAGTTATTATTTAATGGCTAGAGAGTTTTAATTTGGAATGATGAAAGTTTTCTGGAGATGGGTAGTGGTGATGATTCCACAACAATGTGAATGTGCTTAATGCCACTGGGTTGTACTTATAAATGTGTGTATATGTATTTGAAAATGTATGTTTTGTGTTATGTATATCTTTACAAAATAAAAAGTCCAAGAAAGGACCATTTCAAAGAGAACAATTCAGTGGTATTTAGTACATTCACAATATTGTGCAACCACTACCTCTATCTAGTTTCAAAACACTTCCATTACTTCAAAGTAAAACACCTTACTCACTAAGCAGTTTCCCTTCTTTAGATTCTCCCATAGTCCCTGGCAACCACCAATCTGTTATATCTTGTATTGGTCTTCTAGGACTGCCATAACAAAATAACACAGGCTGAGAGACTTAAACAACAGAAATTTCTCACAGTTCTGAAAATTGAAATCCTAAAATCAAGTAATCAGCTCGTTTGGTTTCTTCTGAGGCCTCTCCCCTTGTCTCGAATACAGCTGTCTTCTCACTATATCCTCATATGGCATTTTTTTCTTTATTATATTTTCCCATCCCCATTTATCCCCCCTACCCTACCCCTCTCCTCCACCTCTACCCACCCATCCCCAACCACTACACTGTTATCCTTGTCCATGGGTCCTTTCCCAATTTTTTCTTTTTTTCTTCATCTTTCCACCCTCCAGAATCCACACACACACACACTGAGTTGTCTCTACTTTGCTTATTAGTTTATTTTGTTCATTAGATTCCACATATGAGTGAAATCATATGGTACATGTCTTTCTCTGACTGGCTTATTTCACTTAGAATAATGGTGTCCAGGCCTATCCATGCTGTTGCAAAGGGTAAAATTTCCTCCTTTTTTATGGCCAAGTGCCATACTATTCTATTGTGTAAATGTACCATAGCTGTTTAATTCATTCATCTACTGATGGACACTTGAGCTGCTTCTAAAATCTTGGCTATTGTAAATAATGCTGTAAGTAACATAGGGATACATATATTCTTTCGATTTAGTGTTTTGGTTTCTTTGGGTAATTCCCAGAAGTGGAATCTCTGGGTCATAAGGCAGTTCCATTTTTAATTTTTTGAAGTATCTCCATACTGCTTTTCACAGTGGCTGCACCAGTCTATATTCACACCAACAGTACACAAGGGTTTCCTTTTCTCCACATCCTCACTACTTGTTGTTTGTTGATTTGTTGAGAATAGTTTCGATAGGGGTTGCATTGCAATGAACAGTCTCTCGTAGAGCTTCTAGGAGGTGTGTAGCCCAGTCCACATGTTGATTTCTGACTTCAGAACTGTGAGAATATAAATTTCTGTTGTAATTTTTTTAAAGCAGCCACAGGACACCAATATTAATAGTGAGTGGCACGATCTATTGCAAATGAGTATTTATCACTATTTTCACCTTTCCTGAGACAAGCAGATAAACACTCCCTAGTTATTCTACAAGTTAAAAATGGCTAAAACAGATTCTCCCAATCAAGGTTTTAAATGGGCAAGATAAATGTAAGATCTATTCATATTATTGTTTATCTATTACCCACATTGGAATGAAAAAGAGAAAGGCATTACATGATCTTTAGTTGGAAAAGTACATTTACAGTATTAAGACATATAATCTTTCCCCTTGAACTTTTATTTAGTCTTGCTTTACTTTAGATAATATTTAATAATTTTATATAGTAAATATAAATCTTCCCCTTTATGATTTCATCTTTTCTTATTTTTTAATGCTCAAATAGTCCTTCCTAGGTTCTTTTCCTTGAATTCAGATGAACATTTTATCTATATTTTCTTCTAGTTATTTGATTGGTTTGTCCTTAATATAATTGAGATAAAAACATATGCACTGGTAATTCTCAAACTCTAGTGTGCAGCAGAATCACCTGGGAGGTTGTTACCAATACAGTTACCTGGGCACAATTACTAAAGAGTGGTTCTTGGGATTCTGTATTTTAATCAAGCTCCACATGTGATTCTGAAGTATTTGATAGGCTATCAACCTGGAAGTATCCTGACATACACCATCTTAAAAAGGTCTGATGTGTTGGTTTTGGGGTGTAATTCCTCCTTTTTTTATTCTGTAACAAGATATATATTCTACACAAATGACATGACTTGGTTAGGTTCACACAGTCAACCAAGGGTAGTGCCGATAAAATGTATCAAAGATATTTTAGTAACAAATTATACCCAATTGTTTTCAACTCTACATTTACATCAGAATCAATGGGAGAGCTTTTACAATGTGATAATGCCTAGGTCTCACTTCTCATGAGTGTGATTCAATTGGTTGGGAGTAGGTTCAGAGCTACACTTTAAAATCTCAAATAAATGAAACTTGTAGCCAAGGTTGAGAACCTATGCACTAAACATAACGGTATTAAACAAGACAGTTGTCTCTAAACATGGTAGTCTAGTGAGAACATAAAGCCTGATATATTTAGGTTAATTATGGCACTTAAAATTATACACACACACACACACACACTTGAATTAAAACTGGGGTCTCCATTTTAATTTATCTAAGTCCAAAGATGAACTTGTAAGATGCAGTGGGTGTGGATTAAAACCTAGTTTCCTGAATATTTAGCCAATTTCTCAGGAGATTCTGTGTAGGTGATCTGCATAGCACTTGTTGATAAATATTGGTATGTATGTAACATTATAGTAAGTCCATGTGTTAACATTGGTGTACTATGCTTTCTCTGATGTGCTACTTTTTTCAATTACAAATTAGTCTATAGGAAAAAGATGTCACTTGCCCATAAATAATCAAAGACTCAGATTGCAGGACCCTTGACTCAGCTATAATTAACTATTGTGCCCTACAACTTATCAGACTATGTGCTAGGTACTGAGAGTATGAGAACAAATGAGACAATATAGTTATTGATAGAAGGGCACAATCTATTTGGGAGCTGTGGTGGTGGAATATGTTCTAAAACAATGGTCCATCTACCAGGTCCCCAATCCCAGCCAGTTTCCCAATGATTTGTGATTACAGGTTTATTTGGCACAGCAAAATCAAAGGAAGAAAACTACTCTGGGTCCATGTAGGCTAGTGTAATTAGAGACTACTGTGAATTCCTGGGGTGCATGAGAGTGGTGTGGATCAGAAGTCTTGGGGACATAAAGCCTCCCTCAAAACACCTGTATGCTCTCAGAGTGAAACCTATAGCAGTGTATGCATAGGAAATGGCGAGTCAAGAAAATTGGGCTATATTCATCCAAAGATAAAAGGGATAGTCCAATTCTGAGCACACTATCATTAGTGTCATTCACTTATCTAAGGAACAGGGGTGAAAAAAAGTCTGAGAAAAACCATAAAGGGTATGCACCTGATTATTATTTTAAAGCAGGAAGAGGGCATATTCCACGTTTCTGAAAGGCAAAAAGGGGGAGTCAGACCACTGAAGGTTCCAGAGAAATTTTCACCTTTAGCACTCCAGCACATCAGCAGTGGTTGGGACAAGTTCAGGAAAACAAAACTGAGCAGAAGGGGAAGGAGAACGTAGCAGTCATGGCATTTTACAGGGAAGGGGTGCCAATCAGTCATGGCATATTCCAGCGGCGTTAAGTATACAAAAGCTGTTACCCACTTGGCAGTCAACTGTATTTGCTGGTAAGCATTCTCCTTGGGCCCTTCCCTAAATATGAATGGCACCTAGAGGGTTGGGGCCTTGCATGTGTGGATAGAGCCGGCCAGAGTTCAGTTATTACCTTATTGATTCCCACAATAGCCCTGTAAGGCATGTATTGCTGTATCTTCATCATAAATAGGCTGACTTTAAAGAAATGTATCTATAATAATAAAAGCATAATATGCTAATTAAATCCATAACCGGTTTGGCTCAGTAGATAGAGCGTTGGCCTGCGGACTGAGGGGTCTCAGGTTCGATTCCAGTCAAGGGCATGTACCTTGGTTTCGGGCACACCCCCAGTGCGGGGGGGGGGGGGGGGGGGGGGGGCGACTGCAGGAGGCAGTTGATCGATGATTCTCTCTCATCGATGTTTCTAACTTTCTATCCCTCTCCCTTCCTGTCTGTGAAAAATCAATAAAATATATATATATTTTAAATGATAATTAGACCAGACATCCTAAGAGATACAGAGGTAATATAAAATGAATGTCTTTAAGTTGTGTCTCAAGCATTTAATTGTCTGCATTCCCTTCATAAGATCATTGACAAGTTCTTTGCTTCTTGTTTTCTGATACATATAATACATGTGTATTCATTTTGAAAAATAAATGAGAAAAGCAAGAAAATAAAAAACACACTCTGACTGACATATATAAAATATGCATGCTTTTAAATGAGACAGTATATCTATAAACTGCTTTTTAAACTGCTTTATTAACTTTGTGATATTTATTAAGCATTTTTCCATGCAAGTTAATGAAACTCCCCTGCTGACAGAAAAAGTTACAGACTAAGTCGAAATGCCCAATCAGAAAAATAAAAGGACACCAAAGATTCACTATAATGGGTACATCAAAAAGTACAAGTGTCAGGAGCAGGGGGTTTATTATTCTTAACCTCAGCATTCAGGGCATAAGGCAAAACTCATCATGATGGTCATGGTGAGGGGGATCGCCTATGAGAATGCGCAGACTGTACCTCAACTGAAGCTCTCTAATTTTCCTCCTTAGCTCCCTCATCTCCTCCATGAACCGTTCCATATCATCTGCATCTCCATCTACCATATCCATGTTATTGGCAAGCCCGTTGGGCACATCCTCTCTAACATCCTGGGCAGGTGGAGCCCCACCCTCTCTAATGTTTCCTTCAGGCTCCTGGACTTCACCACCTGCCAAGGGGCGGGCTTCTTCTTCATTCTGCACTGGAGCCTGCTCACCTTCTTTGCATTCCTTGGGGACACTTTCCATGTTGAGTTTTTTTCTGCTTCTTTCTGGGAGATTAAAAAGCAAGGATTCAATGCATTGTAACAACCTGGTTCAGAACCCTGTAGGCAAAGGTTTCCCCATCTGAGAGACTTCGCGCGCCCTCTAGGGGTAGCCCCAGCCCCAGCCCAGCCCCACAAAGCCCACCGCCTTCCATGAAAATCCTTCCCTAGGCCAATCCTCACACAAAAACGCAGGACAAGTGGTGAGTGGGACAGTGGTTTGAGAGAGCAGGAATCCTGATAAGCCTTCCAGGGGCGCCCGAGTTTGCCCCTCCACCTTCTTCTTTCCTCGCCAGCCACAGACCCAGTTTCTAAAAACTTACACAAGTTTCTCCTGCTCTTAATTCGGGCACAGAAGGCTGAGTTCCCTAGTTTCGGTTCTTCTCCCTGATACCCCTACATTCCCCTACCTTCAGGAATCAGAAGCAGGTTTCCTCTCTTAGCCTTGATATCTGCTGCACCAAAGCACCTGAAGACCTGCAGACAGAAATATGACAATGGCCAGGATTGATCGCTTGATTAAAGGACAGCTTCATTGCTTATTTGGGACTCTGCTAGTCAAGTATTGCCACCATCTTTTTCTCCTTCATTCGGTCTCACGGCTTCTTTTCCCTTCCTGTGATGCCCTAACACGCCTTCCAGAAATAGATGTTGTAAACAATGATTATTTCCAAACCAGTTTTACATATTCTTTAGGTCCCTTACCCCACTGTCTTGCCCCTCCCATCATCTATTTACCATTTCTAGAACGCAAATGGACAGCTTTCCGGGCGGGAAATCAGAAGAGCTTTCTGCACCGCAACGTGGTTTATTCATAAAGAATTTCAATCTGGGTATCAGCCAGGACCTTCTGAGACCCAGTGGCCTTTCATTGCCCATCATTTTATGTGCCAAGATGGACGAAGGGAGCAGAATAGCGAGGGCGCGCAAACCTGGACCCGCTTCAGTCTCAGCGCTTTGTCATGCCTACCCTGGGGTGCGCACGCAGCGACCACCATTACACCGACCCGCAAAGACCTGAAGCAGTTTCTCGCTCTCTGCCTAGATCCCTCCGTTAAAAACCCGCCCACCCGGCCGCCTCCTCTGCAGAAGGGACCTGTTTCCCAGGCCGAATCCCCTTCCCCATATTCTCTGCAGCAACCGCCATCCCGCGCCGTTCCCGCAGCCCACCATTTCAGACACCAAAAATGGACGAAGGGTGAAGAGATGCCTGTAACGGTAACGGAGGCCTAAACCGGGTGGGGAGCCCGTCACCCCCAACCCGATTTCATGGTTATGCCCCCCTCCCGTTGCCCGGCCCATTCCTCGATAACCCCTTCTCTGATTCTTCCCTCCCAGATGTCGCCCAATCAATCACCCATCTCCTGGAAGCTTCGAACTGGTACACAATGTCAACTCTTTGCCCCTCCCTACAGCATCCATTTCTTGCACCGAATGGGTGGGCGTTGGGAGAGGGGGAAAGGGAATCTAGTCCTGGACCCAAACTGGTTTTTGCCCTCTGCCACCCCTCCCCCAGTCCGCGGCCACCAACCTGGAGTGGATCGAGGTCAGCTTCTATGGCTTCCTCCTCCCGTGGGCTCCGGGCTCGCTCTGAAGGCAATAGTGAGCAGGCACACAGATACAAAGGACTCGCACCGCAAGTAGGAGGAGAAACTAACCCTCGCGTCAGCATTACGTCTCGTAAGAATCACGTCACTGTGAGCTCAGATCCGGAATTATGGATCTTACCTGCAGTAGGCAGGAGGGTGGGGGGCAGGGGAATGGCGGGGCCACCTCTCTCCTTTTCACCATCTCCCTATCCCTACCGCAGGCTACTGCCCGTGCCTTATTATGTTTCCCTCTATTTAGCAATCTTTGAGACCAAGCGGGTCATAATATTTTGTACTTTGTATTTGCCCCTTTTCCTGATTTCTGCTGGAGCTTTTAAAGAATTGCTTCTTTCTCTTCTGTATCATTAAAAGCCAACTTCTCTTCCCTCCACTCACCAGGACTTGCTAGTTTTGTCCCAAACTGAAACCAGAGCAGGGAAGGGGGGGTGAGGCTAGGAAACCTGGAAAACAGGTAGGAAGTAGCATTAATTAACTTTTTTTTCACCTTAATTGTTTCCCTTTCTGTTGGTTTTTTAAAAATGGGGGGGTTGTTTTTATTGTCCATTGGTATGCACTAATCTTTTAGTTGTTATAATTAGACAATACTATTTTCGGTTGAAAAATAGGATTCAAGTTGTAAAATCTTGGCAACCTGTATCTGCTGCTGAAACATTCTATAAATATAGACCCTTCAGATAGCACCCCTTCCCCTTTTAAGAACTTTGAATTATAAAGCTAAATTAGTGGTTCCTCTTATGAAGGATCTCTGTGTGGTCTTTTTATGAGATGAGGCAAGTGAGTAATAGAGTCTTTTTTTTTTCTAATAGATTCTTGCTGGTGGATTATCAGATCTTGAGAGCCTATGGCAAACTTATGGTCTCCTCTAAATTATATTAGTACAACTTTACAACAAGCCTCTAACATGGCCTCAAAATTAGAGCAACACTGAATGAGGTCTTTCAAACAATTATTTGGGAAAGTTATATTGACAGTTAAAAAGTATTGTGAAGCTACAATATTAAAAATATATGCCAGACTAAATATAGAAAAAATAAAACAGAAAAGAAACTCAAATAAAGAGAAATATTAGTAATCTGATTGAAATATTTTGAGTCAGTGGGGAGAGGTTATACTGTATTGTTGAAGAAATGGTGATGGGATAATTGGTTATCTATTGGAAAGAATAATGAAACGCCATATTCTTTTTTAAATATATTTTATTGATTTTTTTACAGAGAGGAAGAGAGAGGGATAGAGAGTTAAAAACATCGATGAGAGAGAATCATCTCATCGATCAGCTGCCTCTTGCACACCCCCTACTGAGGATGTGCCTGCAACCAAGGTACATGCCCGTGACCGGATTCAAACCTGGGACCTTTCAGTTCGCAGGCTGACACTCTATCCACTGAGCCAAACTGGTTTCCACAATGAAGTGCCATATTCTTGTTATACACTTACATACAGACACTAAATGTTTAGCTAAAAAGACATAAAACCATTGAAAATAATATATAGGAAAAATAATTTTGCATATAATATTAGGATGAAAAAGTTGTTAGAAATTTAACACCAGAGACAGACATGGCCAAAACACAACTGGCTCAATTGCTTAAGTCTAAGGAACAATGTAGAATGCTCCTCAGAACTATCCCAATCAGTGTTGCAAATCTGGAATGTTTATCCACAGATGCAGGTCTTTATTAGGGCATGTTACTAACGAATGCTAAAATCTCTGGCACTTCTGAGTTGTCCTTTGCTAGATTGAGCAAACTCCCAAGGTGCCAGAAAAATCCCTCAGTAAAATTGAATATTCATAAAAGGTAGAAGGAAAATGTTTGCTTTTATTCTTGTCTCAAGAAATATACTATTCAGATTTTACTGTAAATCAGTCCAAATATTTTTCTTCAAAATAAAGACAACACATACACACAAACACACATCCATTCCCATATTTATGAACTTTGGTATGTTTGTAATTTTATCTATGAGAGATAATGTTGACTGAAACTCTTTGTCCATAGTTTTTTAAATAACAATATGAAAGTAGAAAATTTTTAGAACTGCCATTGCTGTTTATTACTATGGATGTTTTTATTTTCTTATTGTTGATACTATTACAGATATCCCCCACCCCACCCCATTTACCCATCTCCACCCCTCCCTCTGGCCATTACCACACTGTTGGTTGTGTCCATAGGATGCTTTTAATTGTCATAGAAATTGGCCTTGAAAAATATTGTTCCAATTTGGTTTTATAATGAATGAACATTTCTGTTTTTTCATGTGTCCACGAACACTATTACTTTGTTTATTGTAGTTTTTATTTTATTTTTGTTTCTTTTTGTCTTATTTCATTTATTTCTAAAAATTTGTTGTCAAGGTTATCAGGCAGTATTTTCTAAACCTGCCAAATCATAACAAACACTTAACATTAATATTTCCAGACTCTGAAGATTCCAGTTCAGTAAATTTGAGTCATAGCTGGGAATCTGCATTTAAGTTCCTTATGCACTTATTTTAAAAAAAATAAATTTATTGGGATGACATTGGTTAATAAAATTATATAGTTTCAAGTGTACAATGTATCACCTTTATATTGCATTGTGTGCCCACCACCCAAAGTCAAATCTTTCATCACCATATATTTGGCCCCCATTACCCTTTATTATTCCACATCCCTTTCCCTCTGATAACCACCATACTGTTTTCTGTGTCTATGAGATTTGTTTGTTTTTCAGGCTTGTTCATTTGTTGCTTTTAATTTTATATACCACATATGGGTGAGATCATATGGTTCTTTACTTTTTCTGTCTGACTTATTTTACTTAGCATGGTACTCTCGAGCTCCATCTGTGTTGTAGCAAATGGCAGTTATTTCATCTTTTCTTATGGCTGAGTAGTATTCCATTGTATATATGTACCACATCTTCTTTATTCAGTGATTTAGCTAAGGATACTTAGATTGTTTCCATGTTTTGGCCACTGTGAATAATGTTGCAAGGAATGAAATATGGAGTGCATATATCTTTGTGAACAAATGTTTTCAAATTTTTCAGGTAGATACTCAGAAGAGAAGTTGCTGGGTCAGACAGTAACTTTAATTTTTAATTTTTGGAGGAGCCTCTATACTACTTTCCATAGTGGCTGTACCAGTTTACATTCCTGCAGCAGTGAATGAGGGTTCCTTTTCATATCCTATAAATCTTTCACCTAATACAATTCTTAATATTGGATATTAATTCTTAATATTGGATAGGGCTGGAAATTTATGTCCCAAGCAAAAACAAACAAATAAGAAACCTCAAAAACAAAACAAAGAAAATCTCCCATTGTTATGTAAATGGTCTTTTCACAAAAAACAATTATGAAATCATTTTAAAGTTACAGAATGATTCTAGAAATAACACAAAGTACTTCACATGTCCTCAGTTGAATACTAACTGGCCATTTAAAAATATTTAATTTAATTAATTTTATATAAAACCTTTAAAAAATGAATTCTACTTAAAAAAAAAATTCTACTTTATTAAACCCTGAAGTTTTTTGAGTATTTGGTCTTTTTTATTGAGTTTACTAGGGTAACCTTGGTTAACAAAACCACACAGGTTTCAAGTATACAACTCTACAAGACATCATTTGCACACTGCATTGTGCACCCATCGCCCAATTTTGTCCACATTTATCTCCCTTGGCTCCTTTGCACTTTCCACACTTGAATAATAAAATTTGTTTTGTTTTTAAGTTTTAGGGTTTTTTGTTGATGATTTTTTGTTTTGTTTTGTTTTGTTTATTTTGTTTTTATAAACCTAATCTGCCGCTTTCCCAAATCTGCCCATTCTTGAGTGACATCTAGATATATAAATAACACCTGGATATGCAAGTTCATCCTAAGGGGGTTTTAATAGTATATCTAGGATGACACATGAGAATTTGTATTTAAGAAGTACTACCGCAAGTAAGTTATAAGTTCAGGCACGTTTGGGAAACATTTTGATGGGTTTAAAAAATCATTTTATTAATTTGATCATTTATTTTCTTTAATTCTTAGTGTAGTTCAGACTCTTATTTTTAAACTTCTTTATTGTCCTTAATGATTGGTTCTTAAGGATGAAATAATACTTAAAATTGTTCTTTAATACTTAAGATGTTACATAGCTTCTAAGCAGAGTTCTTAAATTTTGTTTAAGAACAAAATTTTAAATTTAAGGGAAATTTTTCAAACTGAATACATTTCCTTAAGTTTTCTGTACAAGCAAACAACCTATTTTCCTAAACCCTGAAAATTGTTAACACACACACACACCCATCATTGATATGTAATTTTGATTTCTTCTGTTTTTATTTCAGTCTCTGTTCTTTTTATACCTTTTACATTAATGATTGAATTGTCTTTCAAAAAAATAAAATAAAACAATCCATCCAGTTTGTAAAGGACATTTTTATTAAATCAGGGGAGAATTACATAATAAATGTGAATGTCTTCTTTGAGGATAGTACAAAATTATGCTTCAGAGCAAGGTGAAAGTTTGAAGAAAATAACGTTTTAAACTCACTACAGTTTTTCTATTTCTCTGCAAAAGAAACTATTGTTCGCTACTCAACTAAGGTTTTTTTTGTTTTTTTTGTTTTTTTGTTTTTTATATATATATTTTGTTGATTTTTTACAGAGAGGAAGGGAGAGGGAGAGTCAATGGCTCAACTAAGCTTTTCTTTTACACTTATTTTCTAGTGCTAAAACTTGTAACAATTTCATGGTCATAAAAGATTATTTGTCCTTTTTTATTTCAAACGCTTTAAAATAAAAGATTGTCTTTTTATTTAAAATGTTTTAAAACATTAGAAACATTGTAATATAACATGGGTCATACAGAAAGATTAGTGGGAAAATTATTGTTGTTTTAAAAATTCTATCAGCAAATGTAAAACAACCCTTTTTAAGTTTAGTAAGATTTTATTCAATATTACAGAAAACTCTGTGTTCAAATGCTACTAAAACTCAGGTTTTTTGATAATATTATTAACATGGTTTAAGATAAACCTTTCTTTTATAGTAGAAATAGATGATTCTACTGTCTTTCCTAAATCTTAAACAT